TTGTGTGTGTCGTGGCAACGCCGCGTTTCTATCGTCCATAAGAAATACATAGCCCTATTTTCGCAATGTTATTTTCTAAACGTGGAACGTAGTATAGTAGGGCAGATAATATCTTGCTTACAATAAGGTATAGTATACCCATGGCATCCAACAGGTTTCTCAAGTACCATTCTTGTTTTAGGTTATACAGGTTAACACATGCAGTTAATTGAAGAGAATCTCTTCTGTTACTTATAATGCATATTCAGAGGTTGGATTACACTTGACCTGCAATAAAAAATTATGACAAGAAGTAGTTAGAAGATAAATACTTCTTCGGAAATTTCGATTCGGAATGATATGAACAATACTTTTTCACAGAAGATAAAGGTAAAAGTATACACTTTGCAAGACTTTTGCCTTTGTTGTTATTTTAAGAGGCGCGATAAAACTGCACAACTATTCCCATTACGCTGCATTACCTTGTATTATGTTAAAGTAAAGCATTTAATTAGCGAAGGTCGATATTTTAAACAAAGCTGACATAAGGATACAACTAAAATATTATTACACCGAGCGTCGCAGTGTAGTTATATATTTAGTTTATAAATAAAGATAAAATAGTATCTAAAAAATCGATAAAATTTGCTGCTTATAGGGTGAAGGGGTGAGTATCATCAATAAAAATAGTATATTGTATTATTAGGAATAAAAATGATACTTTTTGTGGCGAGGTTGTATGTTTGATAGCCGAGCGTAGCGAGTCCGACATTGAGTCGAAATATAAAAAATCATTTTTACTCCGAATAGAATATACTATTTTTTTAACCAAACAATTTTTATGTTACTATGGTTACTTTTATTGGTTGTCACATTGACAAATAAAAAAAAACACCGATTTTTGCGCTACTCCTTAAGTTGTGTGAACTTGTATGCTTATTGTTGTTCAGATATTGCTTATACTGCAAAGACTGTAACTATAGGATTGTTGTCTACCAAGCCTACTGTAATTAACGAAAAATTTGAGTTTTTTTACTTTTACAATTGTGTGCCTAGGCATAAAAGTGTTTCACTTAAAAAAATTATTTACAGTAATAAGTAGCTTGGATAACCGTGTTTATTTTTTTTAGCTACAACTTGATGAATAACAAAAATATGTGGTCGATACTTCTTAAGTTAACCTGCTTCGTCAGTATGAATTTTACTGATTTTACAATTAAGGTGGCCATATTTATAATTGATTTAAAAAAAAAACTATGGGAAGATCGAAAATAAGACATTTTATTAACGATCACTCGTATGCTTTCCTACATTTCATATATTTTTGTCTAATATTTATTCATCATTATTATTCCTTAAACGAGTTTACGATTTTCTATACTTACGCCTATGTGAACAAACCTTGTCCCCAGTATCTTAATGATATCTGCTACAGTGTTTATTAACTTGATTGTCAGTTGTAGATGCTTAGTACAAACAAATTTATTTAACACTTGGTTATGAATAACTGATTGATCTTTATTGGAATTAATTGAAATTATTTAATTTTAAATACAACGTCAGTTAATCGGAATACGAATGATTTTTACAATAAGCACAATATCAATATTCATTATTTTATTACTTTTCTTATAAATATTTTTTCATTTGTTATAATTAGCAACTGTTTTGTTATAGTTTTGTAGGAAAATAAGTTTTTTGTATGATTAGAATATAATTCTTGAACGATTTATAACTAGCTCTTCATCGTCTGGTTTATTCGTTACTATTATTTGAAAATAATTCTCTACAGAAGTATATATATGATTTTTATTTTTTCTATATGTATTTTAATAACAATATATATATATATATATATATATATATATATATATATATATATATATATATATATATATATATATATATATATATATATATATATATATATATATATATATATGAAAATTACTATGTTCTCGGGAAGAACCGCGTTGAGAATTGAATGCTTGACGTTTCGGCTCCCATTTTGGAGCTATTATCAAGAGGGATACGGTTCGGTTCGAGTTCGGGGTCTCAATCTGCCTACTCCCCTTACTCGAAAAATAACAGTATCGTGTTCTGTATTATAAATACAAGAACTGTCTCTCGGCACTGAGGTCTCAATCTGCCTACTCCTCAGTGTCGAGTGACCTAAGGACCCAAGAACCTAATGATTTTCATTCATCTGACCGCGGAAATCTATCCGAACATATATATATATATATATATATATATATATATATATATATATATATATATATATATATATATATATATATATATATATCAAAGCAGTTATAAAGTAACTGCTTTGATTCAATATTACATTGTCGTTAGTAGACTTGGCTCTTTGAAAACCCTGTTGTTTTTCTTCTTTATCGCTTTTGTAGTATTGTCTACTAAATATTTTTATTATCTACTAGGTAATATTTTTACACGCTATATTTCATACTGTAATGGGTCATACTAATATCAATCCCCTTTACTTGCATGTCCTATCTAAGCATCTCCCACAGGTCTTATTTGTTCTTCCCCTCCTACTCCCAAGAACCCGCAGATCAGCAATTCTTCGTATTGAGTTATTAAAGTCTTGACGTTGAACATGCCCAAACCACCTCAATCTATGCTTTCTTATCTTGCCATCAATGGGTGCCACCCCTAGACTTCCCCTATACTATTCATTCCTAATTTTATCATTGCTTGTCACTTCACCCACCCATCTAAGCATTTTCGCCACGTGCATTGTTTGCGCTTCCTTTTTTTACCTGCACAACATTCAGTTTCGTGGATCATAGCTGATCTTATGGTTGTTTTATAAAATTTTCGCAACTAATAAAATAATAAAAACTAATCGATTTTACATATATATCAGACGTATCTACTAAATTTCCGAAAAAGACGCATATCTACTCCCATACATCAATCACAGATTTGACAAACTAAAGGCAGCAAAATACACTTTACGTTAGATATTAAAACAGGTTAATGGCCTACATCACTAGCAGTAGAAAAAAACAAAGTAATTAAGACAATGATAACCCAATTTTGCCACAACAACCACAAATAAGTATGTATCCCACAAATAGTTGTGGGATACATACATCCCACAACTGACTTTTGCAATTAACTCACCGAAACATGACTTCAACTGATTCCTCCCAGCATTTTAAATTTCGAACACGAAGCAGACCTAACCAATGAGATTATAGAGGTTCCTAATCCGACCAAAACAATTTCACCAACATACAAGTGAAATAAACTAAGAGAAACATTCGAATTAGTAAGAATTAATCTATCCAAAGCATTCGCATCACAAAGTCACTACTTTAATCTATGCGGCAGAGAGAGACTTTAATCTATGGACACCGAAAATCAGAGACAAGGTCATGAAAAAAGATTACAACATAACTTTTTTTTTTTTAATAATAGTTAAGATTTTTTACAATATGTTTCACAATAACAACGATAAGTAAAATTGTTTGTATTTACAATGTCAGAGAGACCTAAAGTGCAGTGGCCCAAGCATTATAACACAAATATTGGGTTTTTTGCCGGTGGGATGTGCACTTGTGCACATACGCAGATACGCGAAAACGAATACTAAAAGTGGCCCAGATTACAATGGCTGGGAGCTGTTGAAGGCGTAGCTTCCACTACTGTAGGCACTGTCAGGAACGGTTTAATAGGTTCAAGGTGTAACGAGTCCCTTACTTCAATATCATTTTTAAATAAACTTTTTAAATTCAAATCCTCTTAATGATTTTCTTAATTTTAAATTTCTAAGTTGGTATTAAACAGCGACTCCAGCGGCTGTTTTAAACCAACCGGCTTACGACAATAACATTATAATCCCAGTTAGAGGACATCACTCCCTTTTACCAACCCCAACAACACCCCTATCTTTTCCACAAGTTATAAATCTACACTTCTGTATTACAGAAACCTCAACATAAATGAAAATGGAAGATATCCTAAAAATCTCAATGATGATGAGCCCGCTACCCGACAGCCCTGTCAGAACACTGCCGCCCACTCCAGGCCAAAACTGCGAAAATATCATAGCGCCTTAAAAAAATTCGACGCTCTATTCGGGCCTGCAACAAGCGAGGATCTAGAGACGAGGATATCACAAAGACCTAACTCCAAAACAAACATTTAAAGTGCCCATACCCCTACAGTCGCTGCTACCACCCAACTCAAAAGGAAAAGGATCATAACGGCTAAGAATATCTCCCACTAGGACAATTCGGATCCGTTACACAAAACAGTAACAGTGTTAGCTCATAAGAAAGATTTTTGAGTGATGCAGTTTAATTTAAGTTTCAGAAAGACGTTTTTTTTTCTTTTCTTTATAGTTATAAGTTATAAATAGGGAGGCTACAGCAAAAATTTTGTCCCAAAATTTTTTCTGAAAGGGGGGGGGTTTGACGATAATATACTCTTATCGTAGAGTACTTATGAGGTATTCTTTGTGAACTAAATGAAGAATATCTGCTCAACTACTACTTACCAGAACAGATGCGTTGAACGTATTTTATTCTGTCGATTTGGCGTCTGATCTGTTGAGTCGAACATTTTCTCTCGTAGACATTCATTTCGTGCTGAGAAATTATTGTGACTTCTGATTAATTCCCCCAATCGTCCACCTATGATTCATGGATCGAATATAGACACACTATTCTTCTAAGGTCTACGAAAGTAGAACATGTACATATACTTATACTTTATATTATAATAACGAAATGATTTTCATGTTTTGTCTCTTTAGATCTAAATAAAAGTCTTCAGAAAAATGAATGCTGTTTCCGACTGTTGGGTATTTAATAACCGAGGTCTTCACATAATAATTTGTATAAGCACAAATATCAAGAAAAAGACAGGTAAAATTAGAGTATAAATAAAAAATATATTACAAGTTATACAGTTAAAAATTTTCAATTAGCAGATATAATGAGAGTTTAATGAAAGAATAAAATAATGATATAAAAATAATTCTCAGCCAAAAATTGTTAACTAAATGCAAAATAATATAACACAATGACAAACACAAGCAACATATATTACGTAGATATAGATTATTTATCAATATATCACAATCATCTATAAACTGTCATGGTTCATTTACCGAAAATTACATCACTATTTTAAAATGTGCTGTATGATTTGGAACCATTAGAAATTAAATTCACTAACGAGTCACTTTTTTCAGGAGGCATTGGTTCATCTTTTAACAAATACTGAATTTCTTCTAAAGTCTTGCCTTTTGTCTCAGGAATATATACATAAGTAAATATACATATAACAATACTACAAAAAGTAAATAAGTAAAATGGTACGTGTAACCCATATGAGTGAGTTAACCACTGGTAAAGCTGAAGACTGACAATAGATCCTGTTACATACATTAAATCAGAAATGGCCATTCCCATAGCTTTCATTCTTGTAGAGAATATCTCAGCGGTCAATACAATTGGCACAATTCCCATTCCCACTTTAAAACATGCAGCATATAACATAACAGCTACAATAGGAAGCCAACTGGCAGCTGTGACATCATATCCCAACATCTTTAAATGAAAGTAGATCGCTAGTGCACCTAAACAAAGAGCTGTTGTTAATAAAGATACAATTAAAAGACATCTTCTTCCGTATTTGTCAACTTGTAGCGAGGATACGTAAGCAGCCAAAAACATAAAAAAAGCAAAAATTATAGCTGCTGTAGATGATTTTATATAAATAGACCCAGCGGCTTCTAAAATCACATGTAAGTTCATTAAAATAACACTTATAGCACACAAATGTTGTCCCGCATCCAAAATTGCCATAATCGTTATTGCTTTTCTATTTGCTTTTACTAAAAATAGATCAAGTAATCTTCCTTTTTCTGTTTTTTGGCGTGCAACAGCTTTAGTTATGTCTGCCAGCTCCTGTTCTATGTTCTTACCGGGCCTAAAGAATTCCAAAGATTTTTTACCTTCATCTTTTTTATTTGTATATAACAAATAATATGGTGTCTCCGGCATAAAAGGAAAAACCAATAGTTCGATAAATAAAACGGTGACACCAATTAAGGGTGCAACAAAAAAGGGTAGATACGGACCAACGCTATAAACTAATATAAGTCCGAAAAGCATATTTAAATAAATAATACTTGACAAAAATCCACGTATCTTGTGATCAGCTATTTCTGCTACATATATTGGAGCTGCTACAAAAGATGTATTCGCCGTCACACCAAAAATAAATCGAGCTACGAATAAAAGCGCCATATTTCGGGCAAAAGCTATTAATATCCATGAAATAAGTGACAACATTGCAGCTAGTAATAAAGATTTTTTTCTTCCTATTTTATCAACTAGATAAATTGTAATTGGCAATCCTAGAAAAGAGCCGACCATCAAACAGGTTTCTAACCATTCTGCTTCAAATTTTGTAGTTTTAATATGACTGTCAGGACTTATGAGATATGGAATAATAGGAGCAGTCCATCCATAACACATTCCATCGGAAATTGCAAAGAGAGTACCTAAAAATAAAAATATTTAGTTAATATTAAATATATTCTAAAATTATACATACATATTATATATATATATATATATATATATATATATATATATATATATACAATGGGTGATTAAATTATTATGACCAGTAAAATATTATTCAAAAATTATATAATAAAATCATATGCTGCTATACGATTAAGGTATGCAAATATATTTTGTCACTAACAACTTTTTTTTTTGTATTCTGTTTGTATAGTTTTTAAAAGATTAGTATCGTTTTATCTTTGTAGTATGCTTATTAATGTATTAGTGATGATTGTTATCGAAAAAAAAACCATCAGTTTTAATTTTAAAGACATTTTCAAAATATTTCGATTTTTGAGAAGAAAATCATAATGGGTAAGGCTAAAGACCTCCCTGTGTCTAAAATGGTGGAGATAAAGACACTTTTATTGAATAAAAATGTTTCTCAACGTCAGATAGCTCAACAATGCCAAGTAACAGTAGCGCAAGTAACAGTGAGCAATATATGTGATACATATATATATATATAATATATATATATATATATATATATATATATATATATATATATATATATATATATATATATATATATATATATAGCGAGTGTTTGCAACTTTAATTTTGTCGCTTCTCGCATCCCAATCGCCATAATTTCTTATCGGCCCAGTCTACTTCTAGAAGACCTCTATTTTCCATTTCTATGTGAATATTGGATATCCATTTCTTTCTTGGCCTTCCCCTTTTATTTCTCTGTGTAGGTCTCCAGTTCCAAACCTTTCGTGGTATCCTTTCTTCGTTCATCCGTCTCAGGTGTCCATACCATTTTAATTGTTTTTCGGCTATCGTATCCATTATTGTGTTCTTTACTTTCATTCTCTCTCTTATGTTTTCATTTCTTATGTGGTCAAACAAAGTTAACCCGGAACATCTTCTCCAGTACATCATTTCCGTTGAGAGGAGTTTTTGTGACATATTATTGTTAAAGACCACACTTCTGACCCATACGTCAGCACCGGCTGAATCATAGCCTGATATATATTTTTCTTTGTTTTCTTAGTTAAAGTTTTATTCCACAGGATCGGATGTAGTGTTTTTATCATGTTTTTTCCTTTTCCTATTTTTCTTGTTATATCTTTGTCGTCTCTCCCGTTTTCGCTTAGTGTAACTCCGAGATATTCGTACTGATCAACGTTTTTAATTAATCCGCTTTCTGTGTGTGATATATGTGATACCAAGAAAAAACTGATACCAACAAATCCCTGACTCACCAGCGTGCCCAAACACCTAGAAATGAAAGAAAATGAGGGATATCTTCGTAAACAATAGAAAGCAGCCAAGAAGAATCCTCACAGGACTTATTCGTGAAGATGGGATGACATGACAGTTCGCAGAAGGTATGCTGAGCAAGGTTACAAATCATGTCGCCCTGACAAAAAAACCAAAGTTGACCATCGCAATGATGGAAAAGAGACTGGAATGGGCCAAAGAACACCAAAATTGGACAATTGAGGAGTGAAATAAAGTAAATTACGTCACTACTAAAGTTTCAATCCCTATAACCACTGTTTTTCTCCTAAAAAAATATCTTATAGATTTATTTATTCACAGGTTTGTTTCTCCAATGAGTCTACAGTGGTGTTACTTATGGATAAGTCAGCCTATGCCCGAAGGTAAATGAGTTTTATTTTATATTCACATCATTAGACTCTTATTTATATGCAGTTTTATTCTTTATTAAGCAGCAAAATACAAAGTTTTTTGAAATGATCATAATAATTTGATCACCCACTGTATATATATATATATATATATATATATATATATATATATATATATATATATATATACTAATAGTGATTATTTCGACCATAAAATAATATATAAATCTGTAGGAAATATCAGGTATTTGTTTTGGAGACGCTTCAACTTTGATTTGGCTTTGTAGTTGAGTGGCTGTCTCTCTTCCTTCGAACTGGTTGTATCTGTCCTCTTGCTTGGTTTTCTTTTTCTTAATCTCCACTTTTTCCATGCATCGTCAGAGCTGCTTCAAGGCCGCCCCACTCTTCCGTCTTTCTTATGTTTACTTTTCCCTCTCATTTTTCATCCCATAAGTTGGGCCGTGTTGATCGGTCCATTGGGACAGTGCGCCCTTACCCCACAAAGGCTATTTTCCCGTCGGGTTCGCCGTCTCCCTTGAGCATTGCTTGTAGCCCACTGTGTTACTTCTAGGCCATGTACCCCTTTGGCACGATGCTATTACACCTTAAAATTGGGAGGCCGGTATATTAGGATGATACATAACCGCCTGCCCTATGCATATCCGTTTGTTTTCAGCAGTTTCCACCACTGGTCTTTACATTTGTGAAGGTTTTCTCCTCGATTGTAGGTTTGGCTATCAAGACGTATACGTATGGAACAACAGGAACAAGAAAGGGCTTATATAAGATACGGTGAGCAAATTTAAAACACAGAAATTTAAGCACTTTTACATATTTTATATTTTTTTATGTAAAATCCTAATTATAATATTTTGATATCGGTAAGCAGTCTTTGCTTTATTGCTCGCGATAAAAAGAGTTTGCAATTAGTTCGTCTACTTTGTAATTACTAATTTTGAAATATGAAATAAGGAAACGAAAAATATTATTTTTTACCCATATTATAATATAGTCATAATTTTCTTGGTACGTTAGCCATACTCAACAATTTTTAAATTTAGTTGGACAATGGGAGATTCTATTTGTGAATTATCTTAATACAATAATATTTTTTTAGATATTTATTTTCTCGTTGTAAAATATTTATTTAATTTATTTAATCAGTAATAAAATTTTTATATTTAGGAAATACAATGTCAACAAGCGTCATTCCTTTAAGAATGTAAACAACTAGTAGTTATCGTGTTTTAACTATATTTCTGTCCATTTGTTTATGGCTAGCATAATCACGGAAAAGTATAGAAAATAATTACTTGAAAATTATATTATATTTCAACTCTTTTTCAAGATTACACACTTACACATACACACAAATATATATATATATATATATATATATATATATATATATATATATATATATATATATATATATATATATATATATATTGCGTGTATGTGAGCCTTGCTATCTATATCATTTTAAAACCTTATTAAAAAGCACGTTATGGTTAACTATTATTGTCTATAATTCTATAAATTATGTTCTTTGAATAAACATTTAAATTATTAATTTCTAGCAGTAGTGGTTGAAAGATTTTTGTTAAATCGATTGTCATATATATTTTTATAAATTATATTTTTATATCAAACGAGTTCAGCGACTCTTATAGTTTAAATGATATAGATAGCAAGGCTCAAGGTGTCTTATGAAACTTGATTTATTTTTAATAATCAGTGTTGTTTGAATGAGCACATTAATATTATCTATAAGTATATGTAACTCCTCACATTGGCCAAAGCTGTTCCGTTTATGTAAATATTTTCTATTATAATCATATTATTAGTGCTTTTACGAGATAAATAATTTTGAATTCTTGACGTGTTATTGCAATTCCCCTATGTGATTTTCACGCTTTCTTTCAGTATTACGGTGTCATCATTCAGTGTATTAATCTATTAATTTTATTACAACTAGTTTCTCTATTATGCAGTGTTGGTTTGATGATGTATTCTGCATATTTGTTACGCAAAATAGTAGACATTAAATATTTCATGACTCACTGCGAACATTGTGTTCCAATAGGTGTTTCTAATAACAGTGGCTTCCCACGGTCGGCGATTCTACAGATCATCGCGGACAGTCGATCAGCACGGACGAGAACGCACCGCAGACAGAGCTCTTCCCACGGTCCGTGACAGTCTGTGTAGGTCCGTGAGAGTATTGTTTGATTATATCATAAAAAGCCACTCAGGCTTGTAAACATTAAATTCGGCATTAAATTATTTCTCTTTTTTTTAATTCTTTAATCGAAATAGTACTATTTTTGAATTTATTTTTTATTTGGTTCCATACATCGTATATATCGGTTCTGCTTCTTATGCTCTGGTGCCGTAGAATTCCATAAATTTGTTTCATTTTGATACAAATTTAAAAAATCAAAAATAACTTCGTTTATCCATTCCATTTTTTAGCAAAAAACTGCAAAACAACTTTCACAACACTACAGACAACTACTGGTGTCAGCGAATGAAAAACTTCTGACTTGCACTTGTCGTCTGTTAAAACACAGTCGCGCTAGGATCGCGTCGTACGAGCATGTACCGCACCTTTGATGTTACCGACTCTAGATGGATAGGACGGACCAGCACAGACGTGCCTGCGCTACCACGGATGAGACCCTTCCCACGGTGCGTGGTGCGTGCTGGTCCGTTTACGTCCGTAATATCGCGGACCGTGGGAAGCCGCTATAATACATATGTGCTACAGCTGAAATTTAATCTGAATTGGGAACAGAAACTTTAATATTAATAAATCCTATATAAATATTCATAAACTCCGTGTTGTTCGTTTGGAATGTTGTCTTTGATTGATCGGACAAGAGATGAAAGTTTTTGTTGGGGTTTAATTATTGTCTTTGTTCCTCTTGATTTATGAATTTTAGCGATTTTGTCAATGACACCTTTGATGTAAAAAAATACAAGCTCCGTATGATGAGGGTCTGAGTCTTTGGGTTAAAATTGAGTGGGAGATTGATGACTGTGGATAATCTTATTGATGTGACTCAGAGGGTCTACTTGCATCATCGCAAACACGTATTGATCTAGAGACAAGTGGATTAATAACTGAATTAATTTGCGAAGGTGAATGATGAGAGTTGGCATACAAGTAACGATTGGTGTAAATGGGTTTTTTATAAACAGAGTGATGAAAACCTTGGGATAGGGATGGTTGGAACAGGGATTTTTTAACAACTGTTACAACCTGTTTCAGTTCTAAAAATTATCTATTTCAAAAAAACTGCTTCAGTTCCAAACTGTTTTAAGTCTAA